TGTCTGAAGAAGGCTCCACAGCCGAAACATTGTTTTCTTTCTTCTCTTTTCAGCATGGAATCAACCTAGCACTTGTTCCTTTGGTTTAATAATGGGCAGTTTTTATTTTTGGGGGTGGGGGTGCTTAAAGGTGTATCTTACCTGAGCTGTGCTTGGCCAGGTACTTGTCTTTGCATTTCTTTTTCTTGCCAAAGGGGCTGCAAGACTGGTTCCCCTCTGCACCAGATGTGCTTCTGCTTGCCACTCGCCTAGGAAGATAAAGATGAAGGTTCTGACTTGATAATGGGTCCCCTGTGTATTGTTCCACTATCCACCCATCTGCTTATCATTTTATCCAAAAGGCAGAGGCAAGGGATTCAGAGCCTATCCTGGCAAGCAATAGGTGCAAGGTAGGATACACTCTGGATGGGACACCAGTTCATTGCAGGGCACAATTAGACACACACACTCGTACCTGGGCTTGTTTTCCCCGAGGCCAATTAACGTACCAGTATATCTTTGGGACAAAACTGGAGCCCATGTGAACACTGGGAGAACATACAACCTCCAAGCAGATAGTACCCCATGAATTGAAACAGGGGTCGCTACACTAATCACCGCACCACCATACCTACCTATAGTTACACTAATACACCAAAATTTAACATGGATTAAAAGCATTCATGCCTTGCAGACATACCTTTTCATTTTTAAGATATGTACATTATTAAGAAGGTTTTTCTCAACACATAGTCTTTAATTATAATTAGTCTTTAATTCTCCTTGATATAATACATTTGTAACTATAAAAAATGATGAGCAACAATTTGGAATATAACTCCAGCCTACATTTTGTCAGTTACTGGGCAATTCTTTATTTTATTTTATTCTTTATACTGTACGTATCATTGATTGCACTTGAAAAATAAAAATAAATTTTGTTTATATAAACAGAAAAACTATAAATTAGAATCAGGATACCATTGAATCCTGGTAAAACAGAATACAAGAAGATGCGTTTTTTGTTATGAATAAATACAGTAATGAATACAACTTAAATTAACATATTTTCCTAGAGTACACTGAAGAATACGTTACATGGATTTACTGTAATTATGACACAGTTTTAAGAATGTTGCTGAATTGTAATACACTCATATTACTTATGGGTCAGTTTAATAAAAATAATATTCACAATCCTTTTAATAAAATATTGCTCTATCACTGTATTTCATGTATGTTATTTCAGTGTGAAGACAAAGAATTGCAAGAGTACTTTTGTTCACATTTTTTTTTATGTTGAATATTTATGTGAACCAATCATTGTTGCTGCTTCTTGTTTTTTTCTAAGAAGTGTCTTATTGGAACGTACCATTCCTGTAGATCAAGTGAGGGAATCAGACCAGCAAAATCAACATCTGAGCTCTCCACCCTGCCCTGCCACCAGTTTGGATCCTGTTTATTGATGATCTGAATGATGTCACCCCTTTTGAATTTTAGGCCAGCCTCCTTGCATGGAATGAGGTCATCCTTCGCTGGATCATAGTCAAACTGAGCTCTCACATACATCTGGGAAAAGAACAAAACTAGTGTTTGTCACGTGAATCAATTATATAGGCAAGGACTGCATTCCCCAAAAGCAAAAAGAAAAGGAAACGCACTTCCAGGCTTTTAAGAAAGATCCGATAAAGCCCACAAAACCCAGACATTATATGCCTCTTGTCAATATACTACAGAAATGGGTTAAAATGTTAATGAATATAACTGTATATTCATATATGCCCGATGATGAATTTTTGAGGTTAATGTAAAAATGAGCTTTATTCTGTTAACCCTACTCATCTACCTCAAAAGCAAAACCTAGAGTAACACTGATCCTAAAGTGCTTCCTAATGCATAACCATTCACAAACCAGAATTTGTTTTATAGAAGTGAATTAGTAAAATAATAGGTGAATTAGTAAAATAATCAATATTACGTCTTGGGAATTTTCTTTTGTTTTCAACTGTTAGTTGCTTGAGTATGAGAAGAAAATATTTAGGATCGGAATGAAGAAAGGTAGTAGTGGTTCTGCAATTAGTTTAATCCTTGCATGTTGATGAACACATGAAGGAATGGCAAATGTAGTATTCACACTTAAACACTGCCATCTTTTAATGCAATGTTAGAAATCTTGAATTTGTCATGCAACCAGAAATAAGACTTGCCCAAAACTTTAAATTCCAGTAAAACAATATTATATATTATATAGCAAGATTACATATTGTAAAACAATATTTTTATCTTGGTTTTGATTTAATTTTTAACAAGAAACAATCTTAAAATAATCTTACAGTAATACTCACAAGACAGTCCTACTTCAGTTTTTTAATCAGAAAGAATGCTGGCATATGCTTATAAAACTCTGCATTTTATAAGCAGCAATTCACCTTTTCTTCTTTAGCAACTTGACTACCATTTCTTTTAATACCACACAAATGAACAAACTAGCTTATCCTTAATCAGGGCTCTACAGTATTCTGTAAGTTATATAACCTGCAGATGGCAGAATGAAAGCAGACTTTCTTTTAAGTTTAAAAAGCGTTAGTGCTCTAAAAGGACGCAGTAATTATCTACAAGCTCCTACTGACTTCTAATGATTAGATAGTCACCTGTTCCTTTCATTGGGCAAGAAGAAGACATGCCTGATAAAGAACAAATGTTGTTTAAAAAAATAAGTGATTTCTTCAAAACATGGAGAGCAGAACAACAAAAGCAGAAAACAGTATCAACTATTACACAAATACAAAAATAATCTGCAGTTATTTTTCCTACACAAAAATAAGTATAGTTTCCTTCATCCTGCAGTTCCACACCCACTATCCCCTGACAATTCAATTTTCTTAAACAAATGATCCACTGCCTCACCCCATATTTTATAAATGCTTCATAGTCCAAAACAGGCTGGCACAGGAATACATACAAACAACTGAGCCAGCATGAAGAGACCCATGATTATTATTAGGCTTTTCTGCCTGTTGTGTGGAAAGTCAGGGGTATGCATAAAGCTCTCAGAAAATAAATTATCTTCCAGCCATGCACTTGGAAAACTTGCAATATGTATTTTTATGGCTGTCGCTTAATTAAACACAAAAGAAAAGCATGAACAATTGGAAATTAAAACAGTTAAAGTTTCCAAAACACTAAAGTTCTAACTTTATTTTATGTTAAAAATAAAGGTTCTGGTACTTTCAGTTCGAAGGGAAGAAATGATAAGAGGTACAAAGAGAAAGTGATCTTGTGAAATCTCTGCAAATATATAAAGCTGTAGCTGTAGTGGCCACAGAATTCTTCACACTCTTTATTACTAACCTGTAAAACATGACTGGCCATTAAAATGGATGAGAATAGGTTATCATTTAAAGAGTTAAAGATGATAAAACAAAAAACTTAGTTTTATTGATAGTAAGCCAAAACAAATATTTTACAAGTGATGGATGTCAAACATATATTGTTTCTGTATGTCTTAACTAAAAAATAAAAAAAAACATACAATATCTTGACATCTGTTGTACTGTACATGTAAAAGCATACCTAGATAAACCTTGAATTGAGAGTAATCACAAGATTAAGAACATTGCTTACCTCAAATGCGAGAGAACGACTTTGCTGGTTTGGGATAATCTTTAAGGTAACAATTCCATTTGTGTCTTTCTGTAAAGACAGATATTGGATAATTCATAGACGTCCACATAAAGTAGAATAAAAACAGATATTCTATTTTAAAATACTGAAAGAAATATTGCATTAGGAGCTATTTAGTGCTGACAAATGTCTGGTCCAAGTAGCAGGAAAACCAATTTTTTTTAAATTTAAGTTCTTATACATGGAGTTCTCTGTAGTCAAAATTGTCAAGACAGGTTAACAGAACGAAGGAAAACTGAAATGGCAGATTCCTTCTTTCCTTCAAGTGACTGCAGACTAATTTGTTGCAGGAGGAAGATAAATTGTGATTATGGAAGAGCGAGACTTCAAAACTTGTCCAATAGCTTCAAATTACATGGTTGTATTATTTTTAGAACAAGTCATTATACTATGAACGACAGCCATTTATGTTTTTGCATAAGAGCACAATTTACAACAATCACAGAATTTGGAGGAGCCTGTACGTACCAGCATCTTTTGCAGTTGATCCACTGACTGGTAGGCTACACTCTTCCCATTTATCTCGGCAATCTCATCCCCCTCATGGAGTGAACCTGGGAAGTACAAATAGCCTGTCTGAGAGAAATGTGAATGGATTTCGCAAAACCCTGTTCAAGCACTCTATGGTATTTAAAAATCCTATTACACAGTAAAGTCGATACGATTTTTTTGCTTATTTTTTTAACTCCTGCTCCCAACATCCCAAAGTTACTGTGACAAAGATATTACACCCTTGTAATACCCCTGCCGTTTCAAGAGAAGTTGGCACCAAGGCAGAACTCAGGGCACATTGAAGAGAATTTGAACTATTAAATTTTCAAAGGGGTTGTTCACCATGTGAAGAGCCTGCTGTTTCAGAAACCACTGCTGTTTATTATAATTTGTATGCAAGCAGCATTGACAATTCATGTTTACGTTAAAAAAATAACAAATTACACCGGGTCACTGATTCTACTTTCTGTGGATACTAAACATAAGGGTATACTAAAGATAGGGGTTGTTTAAGCTGCCTTCATGTTGCTTTGTTTTGTGAGAGTGGATTTCTGTGCATTAATACTGTAAAATCTTATTATACGGCTTGATTTTAATTCAAACGTGCCCAATGGGGTATATGATGTTCAAGTAGTTAGTTGCATCAGCAAGCGTAGGTTGCAAAGGAACAAGTAAAGGTTTACTCCATGCTGAAAATAGAAGAAAAGAAACACAACATTTCAGTTGTGCAGCCTTCTTCAGGTGTCAACAGCTGAAATGTTGTGTTTCTTTTCTTCTCTTTTCAGCATGGAATAAACCTTAACTTGTTCCAATGGGAAATACAGTATGTCAATATGTTGACTAGCATTCACTAGTAAATAATCCTTAGATGATAAGATAGACACTGTACCTTGTCTATGTATCATTCCACCATGAAGTATTCTAGCCACTGTGCATCGTTGCTTCTCATTTAATTTCAGAGTGACCCCCTACAGTCCAAGCAAAAACACACTCAGATATAAAAACTGCTAAAATCCTGCTGGGAAAATATTCACTGCCATACTAAGTTTGCATGTTTTTTTGAATGCAGTTTTAAATTGAGGGTCTGGAGAAGATCAAAACTGTGATCTCATCTCTCCAGTACAGAAATATAACATTTCTAAAGCAGGTCACCATCCTTTGTACCCCTGCCTCCAACCCTGCAGCTTCCTGGCTCAACTATCAAAGGAGGGGTCCCCATAACTGTGCCCACATAGCCAGGGTTGCATTTTCTCGGCAAGGAAAGTTAAGACACCAAAGCAATCCTGAAAGTATTTTTAAAACAGATCTTTACTTTGTCTTAATTAGGATTTGGCCCAGACTGAATAAGAATAAGAATACTGAATAAGAAGTAGTGGAGTGTTCCATAAATATTTTAGAATGATACATGATGAATCCCTGTGGGCATTTTAAGCTTAATTTTGATTTTGTTACACTGTGGTGGGGGGGAGGGGGGGGATATTATGGATATCCATAAATTTGTGATAAATTCATTGCTGTGTAAAAACCTTGATGGTAACAGATGCAATTCCATAAATGGATACCATTTGGTTTTATGATTTAGAGTGACTTTTTTAATGAGCTCTTTTATTTTTATTAACTTTGTAGTGTTGAATACCCTCCAAACCCCCATACCATGCAAATCACTGGATTACAGCTACAATCCAGTATTTTCTCTCTTTCCACCTTATCATCATCAAAGACTTGAAGAAACAAATCAGGGGAGAAAACACATCTCAAATATAATTCCTGGGTTTTAGACAAAACGTTTCTATAGTGTTTTTTGAACTATGAGTTGGTGATAATATAGGTAGCTCATTTGGGGAGTGCTTATTTGAACTGAATTCATAAACATGTAAAACAAGCCATTTTAAAAGACAGATCTTAAGCCAGTTCATAATGCAATGCAGGCCTTGGTAACTAAAGAAACCATCCTGTTTTTTTTTCTTTTAGTATCCATATTTTTCAAAAGGTACACATGCTCTTGTCAGGAGATTGTAACAAACTACAAAAAATGAACAGGATTTTTTGGGTGTGTTTCAGTATTTAATTTTAAAGGCAACGAGACAACTTATTACCAGAGGCTGTGCAGGGTTTTTCTCAAACTGTACCAGACGCATCTTGTTAATTTCTTTGCCATTCATGAGACTGGAATCAGCACTCCCATTTGTATAGACTTCTTTACCTGTGGCCTTCTCTGTCTGCATTACCGCCTAAAAAGAAAAGATATACTTTGCTGAACATACACTTAAAGATTCCTCACATCCAAAAATGTATGTTATGTTCTGACCATACTTAACTTAAGTAAACAGCCTTTAATCGAGACTGGAATAACACTGGTAAGGTTACTATGACAAGCACATTTTTATTCATCAGTACTTGTTCACAATACTCTGTGGCTCTCCTCACAGCTGAACACAATGCTATATTTAATTAGCAGCCTAAAGTATCAATGTGTGCTGTGGGTTAAAAATTAATCTTTAATTAATCATTAAGTTTTAATAACTAACCAGGCAGCACTGAAAAGAATGACAGGGATTAAGTATAGCTGTTATATGTGCACCTAAGTGCTGTATGGCCAGCCTGCAGGGATTTGTAATTGAAGAACAACATTTATAAAAAAAGCAAGTCCCCTGTAAAGCTAAAAGTGCGTATTACATTTACAGTGAGCCAAGCCAGTTAACGTACTCAGTAGAACATCATTCTGCAGCTAAACAGAACACTACTGTCATGGTTCTTCTTATACATCTTATACAACATGGTAGTTCCAGTGTTTGTTTAGACAATAACTGTTATGCAACAAGTTTTTAAATTACAATTATTAATCATCCACAAAAGTATTTGTACAATCTTACAAACATTTGCATCGGTATAATCATTTTCATATCCATTTCAGGAAATATTAATTGCTAGTTTGTTGTATGTTTTTGTCAGGTGCAATACTAGTTCATGAAAATATTTCTTTATAGTAATTACAGGATATTTTATCACAGCATGCCAACATGGAACTCATTTGGCATTTGCTTCACAGTTTAATGCATAGTCAATCTCTTTTTTTTCTGCTGATGGTTGAACCTAAACTGCAGTGTGTCCTCTTTTTAAAAAGCAATTTCTTTGTGATAGAATCAGTTTATATTGATTTATATATAAAGCCATTTAAATAACGATGAAATGCATGACAATAGGTACAATCATAACAGACATAAGACAATATTTTTATAACGGTAAGTTTCAGTGTGTTTAAATTAGCTACTGATTAAACTGCTGATCAATGTGTGTTGAAACTGCCAATTTATATACAGCACCTCTTACTTAAAGGGAGCTTCTACAGTTCTCACTGTTCTCTCCCCTTACACAACTGTGCATGGTTTACTGCACATCATAAATGACTTTTACAACCTCTTTGCTGAAACACATCAGCAAATTGCAGGCCAGTGTTTTCTGATGATAATGCTGATGTGACTGCTGACAAATCTCAGAAAGCCAAAGGTTAATAGCACTGTGGCATTCATATCTCAACTGAAGACATGTGCATATGGTTGCAAATCTAAGTCAATGTATTATGTATTATAGCTTTTGATATGCATTCTTCCACTACCATGGTCTCATTATATAGATATCTAAATATCTATGATGTGACACGCACAAACAAGGGTTCAGTAAGCCTATGTCCTATCATTTAAGAACTGTGGTAAAACCATGAAGAAAAAAATAACCATGCATTATACAATACTGCAGAAGTATATGTAATCTATTCAATTATCATACAAATAGTCATTCCCATTGACCTTGCAGGTAGTTTTTTCAGGATAGTAAGCATTTAATCACTACAGAGAACTGCACAGTAGTCTGCTCTTAAACCTTACAAGGAATACAGAAAAATTGAAAATAAATGCATCCATTGAAGAAACATTTTAAAAAACAGATTGATAAATGTAGAATGTTGTGTTATCAGTGAGGACAGCTGGTAATCTACTGCAGCCACCTCAAGGAAACATTAGCTGGTGCCAGGGATTTTCTTCCTTCCTGTGCAGTATTATTATCTTACGATCCCCTAAGCCTCCCTTAAGAGGAGACACAACAACATCTCAAAACCATACGACTATTCAACTGGGAAAGGAGTACGCCATCTAAAAAGACAAGAAGGAGGCACTACTTCATCCTAGATAATCAGCAATGAAAAGTCAGAAAGAAACACCCTTATACAACATGATATAGCTTCTGCCATTTTCCCAGTTATTGTTCTATATAGGCTCTTCTGTTAATATGCACGTCAAAATAAGGATTTTCCCAGAATATTTAGTACTATATGAACTGTTGACTAGAATTACACCAATATTTTATATGTGGTTTAATGACACTGTGCAGCCAATACTCTGTCCTTCTGCAATCACCAATTGTGTCTCAGCTCACAGCATCAAACCCTTTACCCACACAGAGAAAATACAAGGCTTGTCCAACCAGCACTTATTGACCCATTCATTTTTTGACACACTTCAAAGCTCTGTAGCGATATGCCGGAGATTTAATGGTGAAGGGAGAAGAGCAGTGTTCTTCCATGATGTGATACTACTCATGTTTTTTAAGATGATTTTAAAACTGTCTCACAGTTCTTGGGTCCTGGGCTTGGGCCTGGCCTTGTGGACCCTCTGCATGGAGTTTTCCATGACCATGTGGGTTTCTGCCAGGTTCCCTGGATTCCTCCTACACTCCAAAGACATGCTCTCTAGGTTAGCTGTTGTCAAGGAATCGCTCCCTGTATGAGTGGGAGTACGTGTGCTCTGCCATGGAATGGATGGACATCCTATCAAGACAGTATCCTGCTTTGAGCCCATTGTCTGCCAGGCTAGGCTCGAGCTCACTGTGGCCCTGTATTGGAAAAAGTATTTATTGAAAACAGAAAAATGCTAGATTTTATAATTAATAGGTGGCACAGTGATTTCTTAAGTCACGGTGTTTTCCCTTTTCACACTTATTTGACCACAAAAGAAGAACAAAAAAAGACAAAAGAAATGAACTTTTGGAAGCTGGAGTTAAATGTTTGCAGATCATTTCTGTCCTTGAATAAAAATTAATCTTCTGGGGTAAATAATATCCTTACTGTATGGCCTGAAGTCCAGTGTGATTAAAGGTCTTACATCCTTTTTGTACACCAGTTTCCTGTGTATTTAAAAAAGATACTGTAACAATAATAAACAGGGAACTCAATCTCATTAACTGGTATTTTAAAGGGCTGCACTTCCTAAGACAAGTAAAATAATACATTTAAGATCCAGGGACAAGCTCAGACAACAGTAATATGATTCATTTTGCTATGTCCGGTATACAGCTCAAAGTATTGTTTACACCTTCAGTGTCTATTAACTTCTGCTTGTGCATTTAAAAGAAGACTGCACATTTGAAAGGAGCCTGTCTGAATGTAAACAGACAGGTCTATTATGTATGCTCACAAAGAAATGAGAGTTATTAAAACTGAGTATAATTTATTCCAAGTAAATGAATAGTTCCTGTGGGATGATCCATTCACTCTGTAATAAAGCAGCGACTAATTAGCAGACTCTTGGAGAGCTGTAATTGATTCTGAACAATAGCATATATCTACAAAATGCAGAACACTGGTCTTTCATAAATCCAATTTTTTTCCTCATACCGATTATACACCAGTGTTTTAACTCACACTCAGCTCTGGAGCTGCTAATGGTGTGTGTGATTTTACACATTATTCAACCACCAAAAGCTCTGCAGCAATATGAACCCCCCCAAACTCAATCAATAGCATCGATTACATTAGGCTTTGTGTAATCTAATGTTTCCTTGCTGTTGGTACATATACAATTGTAGATAAAAAGTACTGGTGGCAGAAGCGGTGCAAAGATTAGCATTGCTGCCTGGAGCTCAGGTGCTTTCCACAAGGAGTTTATATGTTTCCCCTGTGTTTGTGTGCGTTACCTTTGGGTGCTCCAATTTCTGTGTGCATATCTGTGTTTGTGTCTGTGTGTCTGCCCTGTGATGGACAGGCATCACATCCATGGTGTATCCCGCCTTGTGATCATTGCTTGCTGGCATAGGCTTCAGTTTCCCTGCAACCCTGAATTGCAAGATGGGATTAGAAAATGGTTGGAGGATAAATACTACATCACCATAACCTACCCTACTGTTCAGTTGCACATCTCACCACTATTTTGAGGTACTATTCTTGTGACTTTTTGACTAAACTTGCCCTAGCATCTCTGTACACAACATGCACACTACTCAGATAGATACACGTTAGGTGTATGTGTCTAATAAAAGAGTAGTTATAATAATATAAGATTACTTATACAGTATAAGCCTTTTCTACTTCTCGAGTGTAATGGCACCCTTAATTTGAAAAGGAATGATAGTGATATAAGTATTCTGTCTTTGGAAAACTTTTAAACTCATTACAAAATAATCTTGTCCTAACACCACTGTCAAATGGTTCAGATAGTGTGGCTATGTTAATCCTCATCTCTTTGTGGTTGCTGTTCATTTTGTGGTCAGTAAATTTAAGAAATATATACTTGTCATTTTTTTTAAACCCAAATTAATTTACAGTCTGAAAGTCTCTTTGTACAGTGCTTCTTATGTTGTTCAATAGAAAATGGTCTATCAAATAAATATGTTTTTCTTACATGGATTGTACTGGTCTTTCAATCTATAGTATTGTAGGCAGTGTTGCGTAAAATTACAGATTCAAATCAAAAGAAAATTCTTTGGGATATCCTTATTCAGTGTATTCAGTTACATCAACGTTAACAGTATTAAACTACTGCATAATGATTTAGGCTGCAATTATAAAAAGTAGTTGTTACTTTTTGTTATTTCTCTGTTGTTTTTTGGTTTGTATAGAATCAAGGTTTATGTCTGGAAGGATATCACAGCTACAGGGCAACTTGATAAGTTTTAAATGATCAAGGTCTTTAAGCACATAAATCATGTTCAGAGTTGGATCCATAATGTAAGGAATTAACCCATAATTCCTTGAAAAGTGTGACTATTGCAATTAAAATCATTAACCTGACAATATTATTTTCTATATCACCTTGTAAGAGTTTATGGATGATGAAAGCTTGTATTATATAATTCAAGTTTCTCAACAAAAGTGCCCTATCCTTTGTTTATGTAAACAACCTATAGAAAAGATAAAACATTCCCGCTGGATTTAGAATATGGGGTTCATCCAAAAGCACAC